GCACACTTCGCCGCCGTTGGTCCATCGTCCGGAGCTCCACCATCGTCATTCTCCATCCATTTCAGCCGACAGTCGATTTCACCCACACCTGCTGGAAGATGGAGCCGGAGCGTAGGTCGTAGCGGGAGAATCTCCGGGGGGAACAACGGAGGCCTCTGAACACATAGACGTCGGATGTATCGGCCGGAGATGAATGAATGGCGCCAGTGGAGGTGGTGGGGAAGATGAGGATTAGGGCATGAGTTTGAGAATTAAATGATTCCAAGGGGACTGATTGCAAATTAATGATCTTTGACTATATTTAAATTTGGTACATGTGCCAAATTTATAAATTATAGAAAATTTAATAATTGTATGTTAATGATATGTAGATTTGCAATGCATTGTGTATATTCACATTAAATATATATGCGATGTGACTTGTGAGTGTACGACAAAATGCATATTAATGACCGACACATTGCACATCAATGACTGCCGGACTGCACCATATAGCAATCGAAACAAAACTAACTAACTTATTCCGTTCAAATTTTTATAGTAAAGTTCAAATATGTGTTTACTTTTAAAATTTTGGTTAATTTTCAATTAAATATATTGTTATATTCAGTTGAAAATATTAATAAAAAATATTAACATACGAAATATATTTTTTATAATAATTCACAAACAATTTCAGTGATTTAAAGTAAATCCGGTAATTGATCGAATAAGCCGATTAATTCAATATTATTCAAAGTAGTGCACTTTATATATCAATATGTTGCACTTTGTTAAGCAACACTTTGCACTTTATAGAACAACACGCTACACTTTATCATCACTCCCACCGAAATTCCACGTTGATTGAATACTATTATTTTGTTATATATAATTTAGGTCTTTGCAACAAAAACAATATAAAATATTAAATAGCAACATTGAAATATTAAATATATTTTTATAATATATAATATAAATTATTTTGATTATTTGGATTAAATTCGGTTAACTGGACAAAGAATCTAATTATTCCAGTTTTAGTTTGGTCTTGGAAAAACCATTAAATAATATCTACACTTCGAGTGCACATAATTTTTGACGGATTGCACATTATTGACTATCTCATTGCACTATATCAATCAAACATCGACCGAACTAAATTTTTTGGTTTAAATTTTATATTTTTGGTACGAATATAATAATATAAAATATTAAATAGAAATATTAAAATAATAAATATATTTTTCTAATATAAATTATAAAATATTTTGATTATTTGGATTAATTCGGTTAACCAGAGACAAACCATTAAATAAAATCTACACTTCGAGTGCACATTAATTTTAGACGGATTGCATATTACTGACTATCCCATTGCCCTATATTAATAAAAAAATCGACCGAACTAAATTTGTTTGGTACGAATTTTAAACTTTATTTTTAAAATAACCAATCCGATCGAACTAAATCTTTAAGTTCGAAATTTTATATTTCGATTCGATTATATGGTTTTTAATTTTAAAGTCTCGAATGTATTATGCAATATTTTTAATTTTTTACCATTATTGGACAATTGGTATACTTTTTATAAATTACAGATTTGACCCATGGGTTAAATTGGAATTTAATAACATTTAAAAAATTGCAATTAAGTCCCTTGAAGTTGTCAAATTCATAAAAAATGATGCCTAACATAAAAACCAGTCGGCCATTCTATTCCACCAGCAACAATCACCCGTATGCCCCTCTTCGTCTGACCTGTAGACGCCGCCGGAGATGGCAGAGAGCACTCAAAATTCAAAATAACGACGGAGCATGTATTGAGAGTGGTGGCGGCGGCGGGCTATGGCATAAGTTGTGCTGAGTATTGGCGGCGACGGAACCATCTGGCTTTGCCGATAGCGATTTGGTGGTTGCGAGGAGAGGCCAGCGTGAAGCTTGTGGTGGTGGTTAATGGCGGACGTCTCCGGTGACCACGATGGATGGCAGCTGCGGTGTTGCTGAGTGCGGCCATCTATGTGGCGAACGCTGGCGCGGCGGGTTGGTGGTGGGAGTTTTGGCCGGAATTGCGACTGGATACCGGCGTGTAGCTTGGGCGGTTGCGGATGGACGGCGGCGGCGATGTTGGTGGGGTGGGCTATCTCTGTGGCAGACGGCGGCGCGACGGGCTGGGGTGTGGCTGTTTTAGCTAGATGAATGAGCTGCGTGTGTGTGCGCGACTGTGAGGGTGTGTGTGTGTATATGTGTGAGAGAGAGGGTGGGTGTGTGTATATGTGTGTGAGAGAGAGAGAGGGTGAGTGTGTGTGTGTGTGTGTGTGTGAACATGTTTTATCGTGTGAGAGGGATGAGGTGTGGTGGGTTGGGTCCACACATTATATGTAATTGTTTAAAATGACTAAACTATCCTTAATAAGTGTCAAATGACCAAATTACCTTTAATGAGTTTGACTACAATTACTATCTTTAACTTTATCATGACCATTGAATATGTTGGATCTAATGGTCTACAATCATTCTTATTTTTTTCACCATCCCTCTTTCTTTCTCTCTCTCTCTCTCTCTCTCTCTATATATATATATATATATATAAAGTTATATTTGTCACACATTTGATTGTATCGGGCAATGTATTTCCTCAACGACTCCCCCATTCTTTGCCTCATCGCCATTAAAGTCAAATAAGTTTTCTCCGTTGCAACTTCGCTCGTATACGGGTTAATCAATTTATCAGAGAAGTCCTCGAAATCCTTTATTGAACCCGGGGGAAGCTGATGAAACCAATCGACTGCCCCTTCCTTCAGGGTCGAAAGAAACGCCCTTGCAACTTACTGGATCTGAATATTCATGCTACACCGCCATGTTCTCAAATGACCTTACATGCCTCGACGGGTCGGTTGACCCGTCATATGTCAACCTAGTTTCTTTGAAGTTGACCGGCAATGGTGCCTCCAAAATTTCCCTCGAGACTGTATTTCCTCGAGCACGTCCCTCTAGTCTACCATCCGCCTTAGCCTGCAATTGACGCAATTGCTCAGCCATCCTCTCCAAAGCTCGATCCCTTGGGACTCCCTCTCCTCCAAAGCTCAATGCGTCCTCCTCCGTGTTTTGTTGTGCGCCTCCCACCATGGTCGACGTGGTAGTCGCATGTGAAGTATGGTTCGTGACTTGTTGTACCGCCTGCGCTGTCGCATCGGCGACCATCCTCTCCATTGGTGACCAAGCCGTTCCATGTCCGCTCTCGATGGCGCCACCACCTGTGCCACCCTTTCCATCGGCTGAACTCCAGCTAGATGTGGTTGTGGTTGTGTGGGCACCACCGTCCCGTGCGCTGCTCGAGCCTCTTGCGCCCGAGCCCACCTCTGCAACAGGAACCATCGATCAACTCCCAAAACCTTAAGGAGCAGAAGTTGGGGTTATCATGATTTGAGAAGTTTTGGAGAAGCCTAGAGAAGGGCCAACTCCGAACAATCACGTTGTCATCCACGCGTCGTTGAACGACGACTGCAAATGTTTTCTAGGAATCTCTTCCACCATGGATGAAACAGCTCCTAAGCTCTGCACACAACTTTTCGAACGAAAGTCCCTAAAGACGTCGCCAAAATGGTAAGTAAAACCCTCTGTCCGGCTGGAAATCGATTGATCGAGTGCTTCCTCGCCGGTAGAACACCTCGTACCTGCAAAAACTCTCACATCGGAGGGGTTTTCTGATGAAGATCCTCCGATACTTAAATGAGTGTGTAGAAGATGAACTCCCAAATATAGGGTTGATGTAGATGTTTCTAGAAGGCTGCCCGAATATGCTGAGTTGGCTGCCCAAGCTGCCCGATTGTACAACACACACTGAAGGTGTCAGAGACGGTTATGCAGCATTATTGGACCAATCAGGTCATGCCGCTTGTCCACACCACATGGAGATTTGATTCCTCTGAGATCTTCTCGAAGGCTCGACCAATTCTAGATCGATTTGAGATAAAGGGATGACTTCTCTGAGTCTGAGCAATGGTCGTTCAGACGACCATCTGCTGCTATAAGTCGAGTTTCGACCTGGCTATTCGAGGGCTCTAGCTCTGACTCGACCTACACTCCATGTATCGAAATCCTCTTTAAGCTTTCATCTGATTCAGAGGCTCTTAATTCTGTGATGTTAGACCACGACCACTCCATTCGAATTCTGTCCGACCAATTGGTTTGCTCAGCTTACTCGACTGGTTTACTCCTTTAGGCATAGTTTCCCACATCAGATTCTCCGGACCTACCTGGAGAAGATAGAGTTCTTGGGTAACAAGCACTGCAAAAAATTTGCCATATTGCAACGAGAAATCCTACAGTAACATATTTCAATTAAAATCTTAACGTATATTGCAATGGTATAGCTTCCGTTGAAATGATTCCGACAAAAATTCTAACGAAAATATTCAATTGGAATGAGTTCTTTACCGGAGTAATTTCCGTTTGAATTTTTATTTCCATCCATATTTCAACCATTGGAATCGTCAAAATTCAACAAAAATTCTAGTAGAATAAATTTGTTGGAATCCATCATTGTAATATCCATACTTTTTTTACATTGAAATATCCATTTTTTTCTGTTCGAATTTCTGTTGGAATTCATGATTTAGAATTGCATTGAAATATTTTCTGTTGGAATTTCTTTATTATCTTTTAGCGAAGGTATAAAACCTTTAGGCTGGGCAGCAGAATCCTTTGGCAACAAGATAATCATTCTTATATATTGAGATATGACTCAGTAATTTCTTCTTTTCTTTACACGCTCTGATTAATAATTATCACACATCATATTTATGGGACTGATTGATCGTCGGAGGACTACCATCGAGACCACCCTCAACGTGTATGATCACGAAGGTCATTCTAAGGAGTCAAACCAGTTCATGATCATCATATTGCGGGTCTAAGGAGGAATTGCACATCAACATACGAATCACTAAGAATTATTCAAAGTTGCTTCTAATGAAAATCAATAGTTCATCTAATTGGATATTACAAATGAGATTTGAAAAAATAAAATAAATAAATAAACTAATCTAAACCCTAAAGGGCACAAGATCAACGTCAATATCCGCTGGTATTTTTCTGTGTGGTGGGAATTTCGGTAAGAGTCCAGCTATCCTCTTTGCAGAGTCAAAATAGCTCATATATTTGCAAAGCACATCGTCCTTTTTCAAGCACACCTGATCTTCATTACTAGCTTCCATGTTCAGTGCCTTGATCATGCACGATAAGGATGGCCCGTCAAGGATACGGTTTACGTAATTGCCCCTCAGAGCTTTACTGTTGAATGTCCAAACGCCCGTTGTCCAGCTGAAGTGATACCAACTCAAGAACCTCTGGCCATAAACAGCTATGAATTCAATGGCTGATAAGATAAATTCAAATTCTTCCTCTGACATGTAGTACGGAAAGCTCACCCTCGTCCACCCGGGCTTTATCCCGGTATAACCCTACAACATCAAATTTGTAGGAACATGTGATTAAACCTGTCCCTATTTAGATCAAGGCATTCAATGAGATGACTTCAATTTAATGACCCTTGGACTCTCTAAACTTTTGAATATAAGGAGGTTTTAATTTATATAGCGAATTTCAGTAGCATGTTCGGTTCCATAAAAGTAAAAGAGATTTTAGTATATATTATCCAGCTAGTTAATTATATAATGGGTGCAAGTTGGGATAATACTATTATATT